TCCCTCATAGCCACCAGCACCGTGCCTGCTGCAGTAGCAGAGAGGGAGGCAGGGAGTGTGTACCACCATGAAGCTTCCTCCCTTTCCCCAGGTATTACCTAGAACAATGGTTCTCTCATACCTCCCTTGCTTACAGCCATGCCATCAGGTCATTTCCACAAACTGACTATGCTGTATCTTCCTCCATGCAGAGTCAATACTATTCTATGCTGCATTTTAAGGTTTTAGCTGCAAAAAAAGTTGTACTGTGTTTCCCACATTAGCCTTTGAGTGCTGCTGTTGATTATAACTAATGCTTCTAACATCCTCAGTTTTGTCAAAGAGCATTCCACAGGTCAGTCAAGTTCCCAACACCTTTGAGGTGTTGGTAAAAAACAGTACACCTCTAATGACTGTTTTGTGATACCTTCCTTCTAACAATGTCACTGTTCTATTAGAAAGTGCATTACTTAAGGAGAAAAGTTCTTTTACATGAAGCAGATGTGGGTTAGGTTAGTATCTTTTACTCTGGAGCTGTGAAGTGCTGAGGCACACACCTTCTCATTTGCTACCCCATGGCTAGGGAGCAGTGCTTAAGATGTATTAATCCAGTTGCCTTTGCTCATATATCGATTTCTAACTTTCAAGGGAAGGCTGTGCTGCACTGTACTGAAAGTGATGGATATACTGGAGTTTTTCAGGTCTTGGGAAAACCCAGTGACGACAAACAAGTGAGGGTCTTGTGCTTTTTAGGGAGCAGGTTTTTAAGTGTTTGCAGTTATGTAAATACAACACTGTAGTCCAGTATAAAAGTATCCCCCTATATGCTTAAAGTGCTTTTAGAAGTGAATCTTCAGCTTTTAAACTGCTGAAGCAGTTCTCAGACTTCACCCAGTATTACTATGTGTGCTTCCCAGATGGAGAAACAGAGGCAGAGGGAGGTGACTCACTGAATGACAGCAGGGAATAGAGTCAGGGTCCACCGGCTCACAGCGCTGTTACCAGCTCACTGGGCTGTGCAATCGCATTACACTAGTTTACAGCTGGGTCACCCGAAGCATAGGGAAGTTAAGGGCCTGGGCTTGATGAGTACTGGATGCCCAAAACTCTGGTGAGCCTGATGGAAGTGTTGAACATACAGTGTGCAGAAAACTCAACACTGTGCATCGTAGGCAAGTTCTTCCATCACATCAGGATGTGGCCAGGGCAGAGCCACAGGCTTCTCAGTTCAGCTGCCAGGGATGCAGCCATGCTGCTGTGCAGAGCAGTGGCAGCAGGCAGCCAAATTCAGGTAGCAGTGACAGTGGCAAGTTTCGAGTAGTTCTCTGAAAAGCTGGATGTGGTTCCTTCTGCCGTTGCACTGCTATTGTTGCTCATTCCTGAAAGCATTTCTTTTTCTTCTGAATAAGCCATGAAGGCTTGTGGACTCTGTGTTTGAATATGTCTAATGAGAAGAAATAAAAGGAGATGCAAAGGCAGTCCTTGGTGGCATTCCACTGTGAGTGATGATTATGCAGTTACATCTAAAATCTATTTCCCACCCCCATTCAATTAACAAGTCAGTGTTTTAATGGTCAGAGCTGACAGCTGCAAAAATCCATCCCCCAGAGAGAGATTTCAGCACCTGAGAGCAGTCTGCAAAGCCTGACTGTACTGTTCCTCATTAGGAAGGAAGGAGAAACATCCTCATGGGAGCATCCTACCACTGTAAGGAGCTGCCTCCAATGGATTTGGGGAGGGAGGGCCTGGGAAGCCCAAACTAACAGCTCAGTTTTGCAAAGCAGTGATGCTCAGGCCTTCATTCAGCAAAGCCTGTGTTTAGCTTCAAATACATTAGAAAGAAAATGAAGGAAGTGGCCTGTGTTTCTCCCCCTCTCCCCCTTCTCCCTTTTTTATCGTGGTTAACACTTAAGAAATACCTAAATATTCCCTCAAAGGCTTATTTCGTTTCACAGCTACTGAATTCCCTTTCCTTGGTCATGTCCTTCTTTTATTTCAATTTCTAGACCACATTTATTTCTTGATAGCCTAAAATGTGGGTTTTGGTGATGGAGGATGTTACAGTGGAATGCATATAAGATGCATCTGGTCCTGAGCCCTCAGCATTCTTAGGCAAGTCTCTCTCCAGGTGTGGTCTAGGAACTATAAGCAGAAAGATGCATTTTACCAAATAACTTACATCTTTAAATGCCATCCCTCTTGCAAAGATCCTGGTGTATATGTATATGCATTAACAGAAGCTGGAAGTGGTGGTGACCCTGCTGCAGTTTCTTTGTAGGGTTTGAGACATCTGGCCTCAGTTTCCTCCAGCCTTTTTGACTGACTGGGTGCAGGGGTCTGGCTGAGAGCCCCACTTCAGTCCGAAGTCATCTGTGACAACCAGATGCTTGCCTTTGTAACTGCATTGAATTGTGTCCCTCAGCTCATGATCCAGGGAATGTATCTCGCTCTATAAGGGTGGAACATGAGAGTTAATCAAGGTATTTCAGCTTCTTTGTCAGGAGCAGTGCCAATCAAATGTGCTTCTATCAACAGCTGCCTTTTTCAATTATGCAGAGAAAACATGAGAGGGATAGTGTGCATAGGCTTGTAATGATCTGAGTGGTTGCAATGGCTGTCACACTGAGAAAGGGAGATGCTGAAGCAGTACCAGTAATGTGAGTGCTACAGCAGAGCCATTACAGGTAAGCGCTTCAGCAAATGAACCTTTTCAAGGGTACCAAACAGTTTCTGCCATAGGCTGGGCTGTGTTCTGCAATGCTGGGGTGTGCAGTAGGCCCAGGGGCAAAGAATTGTTTTCTGTGACCATGTCTTGGCTGGTTATTTTTGAAACCTTTTTAACCTCCTCCTGTAGAAATGGTGAGCTGCTGCTGAGAAAAAGGACCTGGTATGATAACATCATTCCAGCAGCCACCTGCTGCTACCAGGGGGATCCAGGGGTAACAAATGTGTTCATTTTCCCAGCCAGGGCAGTTTTTCACATGTGTATGAAACTGCCTCAAAAATATGTTTCTGAGATGTCATGGGCAAAATACCTTGCGAATAGCTTTCTGTACAAATTGAAGAAACAGGCAGGTATCCGGGACAAAAGAGACTTCATAGTGACAGTATCACATTAGTGCATTACAAAGGAGACTTCTTAAAGTAGGTTTTAGACCTTTTCCATCATCTTTGTTTCCTTAGGGCCTTTTCATGGCCTGTATGTATATATAAGCTTGGGCCATAGGTAGAGTATTCTGCATTCTATTAGAAAACAGAAAATTGGTATAAACTAGATTTTTCCTGATGTCTTTTTACAATAGCACTATTAGGAATGATGTTGTACCTGCCAGATGGCCTAAAAATCACCTCCCTTTCAATGGAAGAGGGAGCACAGTTTTCTTTCACGATGGCTCCAAAAGTGTTCAGTTTCTCAACTGGCTTTACAGTTTTCCTGATTCAGCAGTCTGGCCTGTCAGGATCCCACTAAAATGGGGGAGTCTGTCTCCAGGACCTTCGCGCATCCCATAGATGTGACTGCAGGATAACTACCCATGATCTTGCAGTAGGCACTGTGAATTGCAAGTCAAACGCAGAGCTGCAGGCTCTTGTTGGTTTTCCACCTTAGTCAAGTTTATACTCCTTGATTGTGGGCTATAGCAGCAAAACCTAGCTCCTACCTTGAATGTCAAAGATGCAGGTGTTGTGACCAAACCAGGGATACAGAGAATGTGTGGGCAAATGAAAACTGCAAATGTCACTAGCTTCTTTTGTATTGAAATAATGCTTGTGTTCCTATAGTAAATGATCTCAAAATTTGTTGTCATGTAGTGCTGCTCATGTCACGCTCAGTGACAGGTTTCACATTGCTTTGTAAAGGAGAGCAGAACCATAGTTTTAAATATAAAGAAATTGATGCTCAGAGAAGGGAAATGATTTATGTGAAATCACCCAGTCAGTCTGAGGGCAGAATCTCTTCATCTGAAAACTCTTCCTTTTCTAAAGGCTGACCTCAGCAAACACAGAAATGTTAATCATGGAACAGCTTCACAAAGGCTGAAATTTATCTGCTAGAGTTGACTCCAGAAGTCCCTTGCTGGACGTCAGACCATGATTGATCCATGGCTCTTGACATGCACTTACTTTTAATATGTGGGTAAGGGGACTTCTCATTTCTGACAAAGCTTATGGGGTTTTCTTGAGTGTTAATCTTCAAACAAAGTGTTGTCGAGTTCTTGTGCTGCTCTTGTCTGGTGATGAACTTAAGCTCCAACACAGAGGTTGTGTCTATAAAACCAGCCTGATGCTTCACTTACGTGCACGGAGAACTTGACTTAGCATCTTGTGACAGTCTCACAGGCAGCTGGTTCAAGTGTGCCTGACACTGTGCTAGTTGTTTAAGTGGCTCTGGTCCCACAAGGTCCTCTGTCCATTGGGGGATGAAGTGGAATGTGATTGCACACTAATAGATACATTTAAAATGTAAACTTGAAGACTAAGAACTGTGTTATGTCTGTGTACATTTGTTATGAGGTGGGTTCTGTGGTTGCTAATAAGCAACCTAATTTCTTGCTGTAATCTCTCCATGCAGGACACCAGCCATGATCGGATGCTCGTTTGTAGTGGACCGAGAATATTTTGGTGAGATTGGCTTGCTTGACCCTGGTATGGAGGTCTATGGAGGAGAAAACATTGAATTAGGCATGAGGGTGAGTAACAAAGAAGACACTTTGTGCCGTATCCATTTGCACACAAAGACAGGGGACCTGTGGCCCAACAGAACTGCTGTCTGACTGATAGGCTATTTCACTGAAGTAACTGATATTGCAACACTATATGGTACTGACAGTCCTGGTAAATGAATACTCCTGGCCTTACTGGCCTTGAGAGAACTGATAACAGCCAGAAATGGTTTAGTGGCTCATTCTGTCAGTGTCTGAACCCAGTAAGACAGATTTTCCTTTTCCCCATAGCTCTGCTTGTGCAAAAAGCTGCAGCAAGTCTTCATGTGCTCGTTGCACCTAGATGATGTTGTGCGCTTGTGGTCTAGCAGAGCTAGTACCAACTGAAAATAAGGCCAGGCTGGTAGAAGTCAGTTCTAATGTTCTCCGTATCACACATGATGAATGCTGTGGTATTCTAAAGCTTTTGGGGTCCACCTTGCAGAACAAGAACTACAGGGCACAGGTATTTGATCCGTCAAATAGGTAGGCCAGTGCAAAGTGTGGACTGATGACCTGGGGACAGCATGAGTCCACCCTGTGCTTCTGGACCTATACAAGGTTTGATGCTTGTGATACTTTGCCCTTGTTTTTACGGTGGTGCTTGCCAGCAAGTCCTTCTGAAGTCCAAGGAACATGTCTTTACTTAGCACTTGAAAATGAGGCCACTTAATGTTGCATGAACACAGTTTCCTCATTATAAAGCTGACCGTTTAATTATTTTTCCCTTACTCTTTATTCCCTGCTTCATAGTAACATGTCCCTGGTGCATGTAATGTGCTCATTAAAGCATATATTCTGCTCATGGTGAAACACTGAACATCAAATTAGTCCATTCTTTATCTGACTCTTTTTTTCTAAAATGGCTACAAACTCCTTCACACCAGTGGGCTGAGGAAGAAGGTCATTGCAGCAAGAGTTTATTTTCACATATGGGTGTGTATTTATTATTCCAGCATTGCAAGAGAGATAGGGTTTGTAATGGGACTGTGTGAATACACTGCTTATAGTTTAAGGTGCAGAATTCACATAGGGGACAGAAAAACTGCTACCACAAATCATCCAATTTTCCTTAAGAGGGTCAGGCTATTACCAGGATTGTGTGAGCTTTCCTTTATCATTGTGCAGGGCTTTGAGCTGTTTGAAACTTTTTCCACATGGCTGCTCCCTGAATAGATTGAACACTCTGGCAAAATTCTGGCGCAGCTGATGAATAAGCCTCCTAAGAAATCTGAAAGCTGTCGCTCTTCCTTAGACAAGAAGAACTTGCTGAGTACGATTAGGGCTCCTGGTAAACAGAGGCAAAGGTTTTAATAGGATTATGAAATGGCACTTGTTTGAAGAGACAAGGATTTGAAGTGATTGAGGGCAGGTTTTCAGGGGTAGGGAACCTGTTAAAGTCTGCAGAAACCAGGGATGTAGAAACCAGCCCTCGTTCTTTGTGAGGTTTTTTTGCTGTGGGGTGGTGGCAGTGTTTGTTTGGGGGTTTTTGCCTTATAAAGAATAATTAACCCTGCTGTTAAAAGGCTTTATGTAAGTACGGGATTATGAGTGAGTTCACTCTGAAATAAGATGTATGTCCATAGCATGGATCTGTTACTCTTTTTCCAGCCTGGATCTAGCATGGTAAGTAACACACAGTGTCTGCCTCGTAATTTGCAAGTCCTATGCGTGATCCCCTCCTGCGTGTCTTTCAGAGCTGTCAGAAACTAACAGTGTGAAAACATACAGGAACCGTCTCCCTTCTCTCTAGGATATTTATAAAATCACTGTGATTTTTTTAACTCCTAAATCTCGAAGTAGCTCACAAAAAATCCCTCGTTTCCCAAGGCCTGCTGCACTGACCCACACAGGGATATTTGGCATATGCCTACACATGCACAGGGGGATGCTGGTGCCCATGTGTGATTCTGCTTGTGTGGAGCAAAGAAACACAGAAAAGGGTAGGAATAAATGAATGAATGAATGAATAAAGACCAAGGAATAATATAATAAGATATAGTAAAATCTGGGAAAGTGGTGTCACGTGCTTGGATGAACATAGCCCCTGTTTAAAATAGCTGTAACAATAATCCTTTAAACTTTTTTGCAAACTATTATCATGTTACTACTAAAAGAAAAGGGATTAGGCTTGGAGTATCTGAATGATATTACATTGCATTTAATGAACCTTCATTAAATTGTTTTAATAAAGTGAAACAGGGAGAGTCAGTGAAACTAATGAGCTGATTTGGAAGGATACTGTTTGATAACCCAGCTAATCCCCCTTAAATCTATTGTTTATTAAAATATCATCATCTTGGGTATTCCAGTATTGGCTTTTCCCTTTTCTAAATTCCATAGATGGAAATATTTAAATAATTAACCTAAGTGCTTTTCTGTGTTGACAAAGCAGTGCATAAACTGACTGGAGCTACCAGATCTATTGAAAATATTTAGGGCTCTGCAGCTCTTTTTAAACTCATATTATTTTATGCGTAACCTTCATACTGGTTAGAGCTGTGACATTCTCCCGGTGGGGTAGTTTTGCAGCGAAGCCAATATCTGTTTGCCAAGCTCAGGAGATTCTGGTTTGGTTGAGTAAAGCACCAGCTGTTCTGGGAAATGAAAGGGAGATGGACATGATTGCAGGCTTGTGATAGTGAGGACTAGATGGACACTTACCTAATGTCATCTTGTACTGTGTTTTTCAAAGATGACAGTTTGACTGAAAGATAGATAAATACAGGACTCAACTCTGTTATGAACAAATGGTGCTATTCTCTGTGTGTTCATCAACCATCTGCTGAAGATGATGGGAATTGTCTGTGAGCACCTAAAAGCTGATTTTGGCCGGGGATTTGTGAAGTCAAATTGTGTCTGACTCCTCTGTGGGTGAGGTTATGAGGTTCATAACTGCATTCAGTTATGAAGCCTGGCTCCTTGTATCCTGTTTTCATTCCAGCTGTGGTTCACCTGTGCTTCTCCCAACCTGGAGACAAAGAAAAGTAATGGTACTTTCTCCTGCAGCAAAGCTGTGGATGTGTCTGTGCCTGAAGAAGACACCCTAAACTCAGGGTAGACCGTGTTCATCTTTGCTGCTACTGGACATCAAATGGTCTTTTTGACCTGTAGAACAGAGAGATGTCCTAATAGTAAAAGAAATTCAAGCAATGCTTGAATGTAGATGAATACAGGGATCTCTTTAAGTGAGGTCCCAAATTATGACCCTGTAAGAAACTGCATTGTTTGCAAGTGTCGTGAAAGTTCCTTTCCTAGTGGGAGCTACAACACAATTATTTAGAAAGGGATCATATAAGCATTAAAAGCCTAGTTTATGATTTAACCTAATACAAGCAGTTTATGATGCATCTTTTTATAGCGAGTCATTAATCATTGCACTAAGGATCTCTCCCTTCCTCTGGTGCTCCAGTGATAAGGTGAATGAATTGCTGTTCATTTTATTTTGTACCCATCAGCTGTAATGGTGGGTGGGAAGAGATCAACCAATTATTTTAAAGGATGCTCCAGGACAAATTAAATTCTGCTTCCACCATTAAGAATCCAAACAAATTAAATAAAAAATACATTACCACATTGACAACTGAAAGCAAAGCTTTTTCTCTTTTATGGCCAGCAACAACTGGCCCTACTACTTTATTCTCAATAGCACTGTGATACACCTCAAAGGGGGGAATCTGCATCAGCTGACGAATGAGTGCTAAATCAGAGATGTGAATAAAAACACCCACAAAACCAATAAACACACACACACAAACTGCTGACTTACCCAATTTGAGATATCTTAAAGCTACTGTTCAAGAGGTCCTGGCCCGAGTCATCAATTAGAGATGTCCCTAGGTACCCATGTGATAAATTATGTCTATGGTGAATTCGAGCAATGACTTAGTTCTGAAGAGCTCAGCTGGGTGCTTAAGGTTAGTTGTGACCTCGGCTCACGCAGATGTGTCCCCAGTAACTCTGGCCAGTTTTGGGAACTGGCAAAGTTATGGCACAGTTCCTCAGCACTGAAAAGAACTGACAATGGGATAAAAGCTGGGCTCGGTTGCGCTCTCTGCTGTTGTGATTACCTCCTTGTGGTGGCCAGGCTGTCTAGCTGAACTCAAGCATGGGTTGTGTGTGCAGAAGTGCAATTCCACCTCTGGGCTGGGCAGAAATACTGTGTGTCCTGTGAAAAACCACGCTGCAGATTCACTGAAGTCTCTTCATGAGGAAATAAAAGTCGTTACCTAACACTTGCATACACAAGCAAATCATTATACTCTCCAAACTTATGCTTTATGGCCCAGCTTTACTTTCTTTAAAAACAGATGAACTACATTTTCTCTAAACAGAATTGCTAATGGTAGATTGTTGAATAGTGAGTTCTTGACCTGATTTTATTACCTTCAGCTAAGGAGATTTAGATTTCTTTGAGCAGTCAGTGTTTAAAATGCAGATTCAGGGCTGGTATGCTGTCATAATAAGGTCACAAGGTTTACGTATAGCAAACTTTAATTCTCAGTTCTGGACAATGCTTTTAATTTGTGAGGCCAGGCTCCCAGTCTTAGAGCTAAGAGGTAAGTAGGGGTCCCAGTCTGGAGAGTTTCTCAAAATGTCTGGGGTTTTTGTGACATGCAAGTGAAAATTGTACAAAGATACAGCTTAATCAAAAGGTCTTATTTCAGTAAATCAAAAATCTTCATTATTATATTAACTGTAATTTTCAGTATAAATTAATTCAGTTTCAAATGAAAAGTTTTAAAAGAAAGTTTTTTTAGTTTGAAGAGGTTTAATCATTTAAATATTAAGAAAATACACAGTTGGTGGCATCTGAGAAAGCAGTGCATTCTGTCCTTGGACATGCCTGTTCCCACTGGAGTGTGATAAATCAGTATTTTCAGGATGAAGTTAAATGCCATTAAAATGTTTCTGACCAATTCTACACTGAACCCTGCAGAATCAGTATTTTCAGGATGAAGTTAAATGCCACTAAAATGTTTCTGATCAATTCTACACTGAACCCTGCACTGCTTAAACAAAATCCTTACAAGAATGTAATCTTCTGTTATTGGCAGTTGCCCCATCATAGGTTGCAAAGAACTCTCTGATAAATTTCCTAGGTCTCACCCTCCAGATAAGCCATGTAAGTAAAGGTGTCCTCTTTTCCAGCTCCAGATTAATGCAGCATTTTGATAGGCATTTTCCAAAGTAAAAGGATGTTAAGCTTCTAAAGTCAAGCATTAAGAAGTCATGAAAGGATTGAATTCATGGTGCCTGGATTACATTAATTCACAGTTCCTTTCCCTCTTCAGAATAGGGATTGGAATAGTCTGTTCTGTGGTGATGTGCATATAAGATGAGCCAGGTCCTCAGCCCATCTAAATGTTCAGCATCTTTTAATTCCAGCAGAGTTTCATTGATTCAAACAGGATGAGATTAGGCTTGACATTTGTATGTAGTAATAATGCTTTGTGTCTGGAAAAGGAGACAGGCTTATTTGTAAGTGAGGACACTTATACAGGCATTAAATCCCAGGCTGCTGAGCCCTGGAGTGTCTGAAGTCACCATGAATCACCATTACCCCATTGCCAAAGTGTGCAAGTGCCAGTAACTGTACTAACAGCTTAGGAAAAGCTGTCAGCAGCTCTGGTTACTCTGGTCCTGGCTCTGCAGTCACATCCTTCCAGTAACTAGTGCTTGTGCCTTCATGCAGCGAACCAAAGAGATGCGCTGCTGTCAGCAAACAAGGAAGCCATGTAAAAGCAGATGAAGAGGACAGGCTGAATTCCATGTGACAGCCAGCACCGGGTTTCACATTGTGACATCAACCATGATTCAAACTGGAGGATTTTCCTTGTAAAGAGTCTCCCCATACAGGAAAGAGAAGAATGTGAAAACAGGCACTTGGCCCATTCCAATTAAGTTGCGGTACTTGGGTTTTTCTCTGACCAGACCATTTTCATAGTCTTAATTGTGCTCTAAATGGGACACACAATCTTCCTTCTAGGGAGATAATCCAACTGCGACCTGTCTGCAATTTCCTTGAATGACAGTGTGCCTTTTTTCTTTATTTTTTATTTTTATTAAATTGAAGATAACTGTAACCCTCAATGAAAAGCGATGGTTTCATCAGAACACAGTGCAATGGTGCTGTAGCATGAAATTGCCAAGCAAGTGTAGGACTAGAGTTTGTGAATACCGTTAAAAACACTCTAAATTGGGAGCATTGGAAATAGCTCAGGAAAGAGCATCTGGCCATTTGGCTTCAATATCACATCATGCTCCATAGAGTGAAACATTTTATGTTAC